AATTCAAGGTCTCTGGATCAAATTCCCGTGTTTTCTGGAAATTTGGCGATTAGATATAAGCAGACGTAATTTATGTCTTTGATTTTAATTTGGGGAAAAAAAGTTAGAAAACGTTAGTAACTTTACTTACGCAAGAAAGGTTTGAAATACACGTATATTAAATATGTTTTTACTCATCAAAATTATGTATACTCATTTGCATATAGCTAGAAAGCTACGCGCCTGCACGATGAAAATAACAATAATAAACTAAGACATGAGATTGCAGCAAGATTTGTTCTTCAACTTCTTGCGTAATTGTCAGTAGCAAAGTCACAGTTCACCTCATCAAATGATCTGGTAGGCTTGTCCAATATTTGAGACACAAACGTCCTTTTTTACTAGCCAAAACCCTAACCGGCGCTTGAACTCTTCTTACTGTTATAATCAAAATTGTTCCAGATTGTTCTATAATTTTCAAGTACAGTTTCCTATTTATACATTAAAGATGAATATGTCCAGTACATTAACACACGAGTAGAATGGTAAAGCTAACCATGCTTGACAACCTGAGACGCCCTGCACCCTGTTAGCAGGCAGCTAGCTACCTGCTGTGGGTCAAGGGTCGCCGCCGCCGCCAGTACCAGTAGTGTTGCAAACGCTTTTTACCCTCTGTTAGAATATGGACTAGCCAAAATAAGTCACATTTGGACGAAATATTAAATTTTAGGGATGAAAGCATATCTCCAAATCATTCTGTGTCGTGTTTGTATTGTAACATCTGTCAAGTTCGAAGGCCAACCGGACACAAGGCTTCACTACGCTAATTGGAGAAGAGACGTTTTGTTTCGTTTACTGGTTCGTAATATTTCCCTATAAACTTTCAAACAAAGTGTTTACACATCTCCGTTACTCGTCAAAGTATTTCGGCTTCACTTGATTGACATCGCATTACGTAATGTACATCAACAGCGCCACCTGTAACTAGGTCGTCAAAAGCAGCTGATTTTCTTTCGTGAATTTATGCAACCTTCTGACTCCGAATACGAAATAGAGCAAGGATGGTTGGTGCAAATAGCTGACCATCCAAAACACCGTGTGCTGCTTAAACAACTGAATGATAGCCTCATGTTACTCAGAGACGTTAGTTATTGTTACCTTACATAATTGTTTAATTCCGACTGATTTCCACCCGATAATCTGACGTGAACGTAAATGATATTTTTTCGGACGTACCACGTTCTACTTCTATACTGTATTGCATGAAATAGTCGTGCATACAGCATATACATATAGCATTCGGGCATCCTGGACTGTCGGTGCTATTCAATGATCGACAAGTTAATCCCCAACGCTCATCCGCGCGGGGTGGGCGGCCCCCCGCGACTTTGCTCAGGTGATTTCTCGGTGGGGCTTTAATTCCCTTCGCCTGCGCGACGACTGTCACCCGCGCGGGGTTTCAGTACCAAATCACCTGAAGTGTACTGTAATGTCCTTGTTCGACATTCAAGGTCACAGGCGTCATATGTTTAAATCTTTTGATAGGTTCTTATAAATCAAACACTGATATTCTGCCTGTGGCTTTATTTTAGTCCACTTTTAAGATTACAAGTGTGAGATTAATACCAGGTGAATGATGCAGGCCCACTTGAGAGAGTCTGGTGATTTGGTATTGGTTGGCCCGCTGAGCGAGTCAGGTGATTTGGTATTCGGTGGCCCACTGAGCGAGTCAGGTGATTTGGTATTTGGTGGACCGCTAAGCTAGTCGGGTGATTTGGTATTCATTGGCCTGCTGAGCGAGTCGGGTGATTTGGTATTCAGTGGCCCTCTGAGCGAGTCGAGTGATATGGTATTCATTGGCCTGCTGAGCGAGTCGGTGGATTTGGTATTCAGTGGCCCGCTGAGAGAGTCTGGTGATTTGGTATTCAGTGGCCCACTGAGCGAGTGGGGTGATATGGTATTCATTGGCCCGCTGATCAAGTCGGGTGATTTGGTATTCGGTGGCCTGCTGAGCGAGTCGAGTGATTTGGTATTCAGTGGCCCGCTGAGCGAGTCTGGTGATTTGGTATTCAGTGGTCGCTGAGAGAGTCTGGTGATTTGGTATTTGTTGGTCAGCTGAGCGAGTCGAGTGATTCTGTATTCTGTGGCCTGCTGAGCGAGTCGGTGGATTTGGTATTCAGTGATCGCTGAGAGAGTCTGGTGATTTGGTATTCAGTGTCCCACTGAGTGAGTCGGGTGATTTGGTATTCAGTGGCCCACTGAGCGAGTCGAGTGATTTGGTATTCAGTGGTCGCTGAGAGAGTCTGGTGATTTGGTATTTGTTGGCCCGCTGAGCGAGTCGAGTGATTCTGTATTCTGTGGCCTGCTGAGCGAGTCGGTGGATTTGGTATTCAGTGATCGCTGAGAGAGTCTGGTGATTTGGTATTTGTTGGCCCGCTGAGCGAGTCAGGTGATTTGGTATTCAGTGTCCCACTGAGTGAGTCGCGTGATTTAGTATTAAGTGGCCCACCGAGCGAGTGGGGTGATATGGTATTCATTGGCCCACTGAGCAAGTCTGGTGATTTGGTATTCTGTGGCCCGCTGAGCGAGTCGGGTGATTTGGTATTTGGTGGACCGCTGAGCTAGTCGGGTGATTAGGGATTCGTTGGCCGGCTGAGCGAGTCGTGTTATTTGGTATTCGGTGGCTTGCTGAGCGAGTCGGGTCATTCGGTATTCGGTGGCCCACTGAGTGAGTCGGGTCATTTGGCATTCGGTGGCCCGCTGAGCGAGTCGGGTTATTTGGTATTCGGTGGCTCGCTGAGCGAGTCGGGTGATTTGGTATTCTGTGGCCGGCTGAGGGAGTCGGGTGATTTGGTATTTGGTGGACCGCTGAGCTAGTCGGGTGATTGGGTATTCGTTGGCCGGCTGAGCGAGTCGGGGTATTTGGTATTTGGTGGCTCGCTGAGCGAGTCGGGTGATTTGGTATTCGGTGGCCCACTGAGCGAGTCGGGTGATTTGGTATTCTGAGGACGGCTGAGGGAGTCGGGTGATTTGGTATTTGGTGGCCCGCTGAGCGAGTCGGGTGATTTGGTATTCGGTGGCCCGCTGAGCGAGTCGGGTTATTTGGTATTTGGTGGCTCGCTGAGCGAGTCGGGTGATTTGGTATTCTGTGGCCCGCTGAGGGAGTCGGGTGATTTGGTATTTGGTGGACCGCTGAGCTAGATGGGTGATTAGGTATTCGTTGGCCGGCTGAGCGAGTCGTGTTATTTGGTATTCGGTGGTTCGCTGAGCGAGTCGGGACATTCGGTATTTGGTGGCCCGCTGAGCGAGTCGGGTCATTTGGGATTCGGTGGCCCGCTGAGCGAGTCGGGGGATTTGGTATTCTGTGGCCCGCTGAGGGAGTCGGGTGATTTGGTATTTGGTGGCCCGCTGAGCGAGTCGGGTTATTTGGTATTCGGTGGCCCGCTGAGCGAGTCGGGTTATTTGGTATTCGGTGGTTCGCTGAGCGAGTCGGGTCATTCGGTATTTGGTGGCCCGCTGAGCGAGTCGGGTCATTTGGTTTTCAGTGGCCCGGCCACTGAATTGATTGTGGGGGAAAAACAGCAAAAAATATCTGGGGGATGGGGCCTTTATTTAAGGCTGTTCTGTGATGCCAGTGATGGCGATTTCAGAAGCCTTCATCGCAAATAAATGTCATGCTTCCTCTTTAGAAGGGTAGCCATAATTGTAAGTGTTGTTTCGATTAATCAATTTAGGCGACGTCTGGTCGTTTTTTTCTGAAAATCAATTAATCAATCCTTGTTTCCCATGATTGATTATAGTTTGATTAATTTAGGTATTAACACAAAATAAACTTGTTAAAACCGCCAACAGGGAGTTGTTCGTTCTCGGGCAAAACAACTGGACCCAACATCCTACACAACGACGACGCTGATTGGCTAGCTTTTGATTTGGATCATATCGAAAAATAATATAATCATTTCTATTTTCTTTCAGGGTACACTATAAGATAGGATCATGAAACTTTCACTTGGTATGTACATTAGTCATACTAAGGCAATGTACACAGTACCAAATTCAGGGCCCACAACCCCTTAATTACAGAGTTATTGCCCTTACCTAAAATAATGTGTCCGGAGCATAAATTTGCTTGCAGTTAAGCTAGGATCATGAATCTTGGTTTGTACATCAGTCACTCTAAGGTGATGTGCACCATACAGTATTTAGGGTCTGCAGCCCCTTAATACTAGAGTTATTGCCCTTTGCTAAAATGTGAGACACATATATATACATGTTTGTATGTTAAAGCATTATGTCGTCCTTGATATCAAAAGCAGTGTACAACATTGTATCTTTTTCGGAGACTTGTTGTTTGCGCGCATTGTCAACTTGCGATTACGCATACACGTATATGGAAAAGTAAAATTAACATTGCATGTACATGTTTCAAACCATGTGTCATGACTTATACAACCAGATATACACCATCCAACCTTATAATCTGGTTCTATCTGTTGTCATTCCAATATTACAACAGATACCACCAGTTTTACACTATCCAACCTCATATTCTGGTTTGTAATATTCTTCATTTTGCCCTCTTGTAATCATAAATACCAGTATAGTTCACGAAAATGTGGATAGGTATACATTTAACGAAACATTCAAGTCATGACACATGGTTTGAAACATGTACATGCATGCAATGTAAATTTTACATTTACATATACGTGTATGCGCAATCTTAGTTGACAATGTGAGCAACCAACAAGTCTCCGAAAAAGATACAATGTTGTACACTGCTTCCGAAATCTAGGACGACACCAACCTCAAACGTTCTATCAACCAATTGACGAGCCAGATGCAGTGAGTGACACGCTGAAACAACCGTTCAGTTTGTGGACATGTTCTTTTTGAACACGGCTTGTTGACGCCGTAACGATTTTGATTGTAAACATTTACGATAATTATTTGATGTATAATATTTGTCACTAATGCAACTGACAGTAATAGTAAACATTGTTGTATCTTGTATCTTGTAGGTGGCAGCCCATGAGGATTCAGAATTACAAAAACGTGTTGCAGGTGTTTTTATCGGCAAGGGAGGAAGCAACATTAAAAAGCTAAATTTGGAGTGCAAAATTGATGTCATTGATGGTGATATATGGGTATCTGGCAGGGATGCTGAGGGTGTGCAGAAAACAGTGGAAAGAGTAACAACAGAGGTCCAAAGGATCAAGGACAGCATTTTACTCATCCAAGAAAAGGTGTCGACCCACGAGAATGACGATACTCATTTAAAGATTTGTAAACAAATCATTGGAAAACAAGGAGGGAACATTAAAAAGATACTATCAGAGTTGGGGCAAGATGTTGAAGTGCAAGTCCGGAAGAATAAATTAAATAACCATATACTTGTCTCGGGGACTGATGTCGAAATGGTGGACAGAGTAGTAGAAAAAGTACAACAGGAGGTCCAAAGAATTAGGAATGAAGTTAAACTACCCTTTAATGAAAAGGTGTTGACAGATGAGAATATTCTGGTACATCAAAAAGTTTGTGCCATGATCATTGGAAAAGGAGGAGAGAACTTGAACAGGATACGCTCGGAGACCGGGCTCGAGTTTAGTTTGGACACATGTGATGGGTATTTACTTGTCTCTGGATCTGATGCTGAAATGGTAACAAGAGCAGCAGAAAAAGTACAACAGGAGGTCCGTAGATTTCAGAATGAAGTTATACTACTTTTTTCTGAAAAAGTATTGACAGATGAGAATGAGAATGTGCATAGCCAAATTTGTGCCATGATCATTGGAAAAGGAGGAGAGAACTTGAACAGGATACGCTTGGAGTCGGGGCTCAATTTTGATATGAAAACTTGTGATGGGCATATAATAATCTCGGGGTCTGATGCTGAAGGGGTGAAGATAGCAACAGAAAAATTGCAGCACGAGATCAAAAGAATTAGGAATGGACTAAAACTACCCTTTTCTGAAAAGGTGTTGACAGATGAGAATGAGAATGTTCATAGTCAAATTTGTGCCATGATCATTGGAAAAGGAGGAGAGAACTTGAACAGGATACGCTCGGAGACCGGGCTTGAGTTTAGTTTGGAAACATGTGATGGCCATTTACTTGTCTCTGGATCTGATGCTGAAATGGTAACAAGAGCAGCAGAAAAAATACAACAGGAGGTCCGTAGATTTCAGAATGAAGTTATGCTACTTTTGTCTGAAAAAGTATTGACAGATGAGAATATTCTGGTACATCGTAAAATTTGTGCCATGATCATTGGAAAAGGAGGAGAGAATATTAACAGACTAATATTGGAGACAGGGTTGGCTTTCCGAGTGGAAACATTGAAACAAGACGCTGGCCATGTACTTGTTCGTGGGACAGATGTTGAAGTGGTGAAGAGTGCAGCAGAAAAAGTAAAACAAGAAGTTCAAAGAATTAAAAATGAAGTTGTGCTTCCCTTTTCTGAAAAGGTGATGATAAATGAGGATAAGGAGATGCTAAGCAGGATTTGTGGCATGCTAATTGGAAAAGGAGGAGAGAAAATTGAAAGATTCAAATCAGAGACAGAGCTGGATTTTGAATTGCTTTGCCCCTCGAAAGATGAAGAAGCTGACTTTCTTCTTGTGTCAGGAACTGATGCTGAAGTGGTGAAGGAAGCAGCAGGAAAAATACAACAGGAGGTCCAAAGAATTAAAAATGAAGTTGTGCTTCCCTTTTCTGAAAAGGTGATGATAAATGAGGATAAAGAGATGCTAAGCAGGATTTGTGGCATGTTAATTGGAAAAGGAGGAGAGAAAATTGAAAGATTCAAATCAGAGACAGAGCTGGATTTTGAATTGCTTTGCCCCTCGAAAGATGAAGAAGCTGACTTTCTTCTTGTGTCAGGAACTGATGCTGAAGTGGTGAAGGAAGCAGCAGGAAAAGTACAACAGGAGGTCAAAAGAATCAAGGATTTTCTAAATAGAAACGTGTAAAATGACCTTTTCAATATAAATGAACATATAAGGGCTGTATTTTAGATTGACCTTCCCAGGAGCTACCCTATATCGTTTCGGGGACTGAAGCTGAAGAAGTGAAGACAGCTGTGAGAACAATTTGAACAGAAAGCCCAATGATTAAATATTGAGACTCTTTGATAAGTCTATTTAGACAGATGAAATTTTAAGATTAAAAATTTGGTTTTCTCCTGATTTTAAGTATACAATTACCTAAGGATTGGCTGCATTAATGGGCTTTGTCTGTCGTGCATCATTCTGTGTTAAATAATTATTTGTATTGCCATTTCTTAAGAATAATTTGACAGATCTGTCCGAAGGTCCTTATAATTAGTTTCTCATGTTTAATTAGGTCACCTGGTTCGTCCATAAACAATTCACATTTGAGATTCTTGTTCTCTAAAACAACTGAACTTAAAAACCTTGAATTAAAATCTTGCAGGAAGCTTCCCTAGTCGAAGATTAATGAGATTGTGAATTACAGTACAGGTGTATGAATCTGACCCTGCAGGAGTCGGAATTCCAACGGTGGAGGAGCAAAGGGCTCTTCCTTGATACTCGGAGGTAGAATTAACAGCTGGTCCTCTGGCTCGTGGACAGAGGTTTTTAGCTCACCTGGCCCGAAGGGCTAGTGAGCTTATGCCATCGTGCGTCGTACGTCGTCAGTCATCCGTCATCCGTCCGTCAACATTTTCTTTAAAACGCTACTGGTCCTGAACGACTTAGTGGAATTTAACTAAATTTGGTTTGGAGCATCCTTGGGCCAAGGGCACTCAATTTTGTAAAAACGGTGGGTGTGGCTGGGGGCAGTGGTGGGGACCCAATAGGGGAAATAGAGGAAAACCTTTAAAATCCCTCTTCTACCATAGGGATTAAGGGATTTTATCCTTATTTAGTCTGGAGCATATCCTTGGGCCAAGGGGACTCAATTTTGTATAAATGGTGGGTGTGGCTCCCCAGAGCGCAGAGGGGCGGGGTCCAATAGGGGAAATAGAGGCAAAACCTTTAAAATCCTTCTTCTACCATAGGGATTAAGGGATTTCTTCCCAGTGTGGTCTGGAGGATCCTTGGCAAAAGGGACTCAATTTTGTATAAACAATGAGTGTGCCTCCAATATGGACTGAAGCACCCTTGGGTGAAGGGAACCGAATTTGTATAAATGGTGGGTCTGGCCCTCCTTGGGGCAGTGAGGCTGGGTCCAATAAGGATATAGAGGAATAGCTTTATTATCCTTATTCTTCCGTTGGGATAAAAGTATTTTGACCAAATTTGAACAGAAGTATTCTATATGAAAGAGAAATCAATTTTGTATAATTGGAGATTTGAACCCGCTGGGGGCAGCGGAAAATAGAAAAATAGCATTAAAATCCTTCTTCTTTATCTGAAGGAATGACAGAATTTTGTCCATATTTGGTCTAAAGCATCATTGGGTGAAGGAGACCTGATTTTGTATCAAAGGTGGGTCTGACCCCCCTTGGGACAGAGGGGCGGGCCCAATAGGGAAAACATAGCAAATTCTTCAAAATCCCCTTTTTCCTGTAGATATGACAGGATTTTGTCCAATTGTATATAAATATAACCCCTGACTAACCATGTGATACATGTACACTACCAGCAACTACAACTTCAATTTTGCTAACATTTCCAGGTGAGTAATACAGGCCCACTGGGCCTCTTGTTCAACAAGCCCACCTGCCGGGCCAGTAGATATTTTTCAACGCTTTTATTTAAAAATCATATTTCATTGGTCTTAAGTTGTGCATGTTTACATTTTAGACTGATCAAATAAATAGAATGACAGACCAGCAGCCATCTTGGATTTTGACATGGAAAGCTTGTTGTTGCTATTTTTAGCCATCCATCATCTGATCATGATGGTGGGCTATTCAAATCGAATATGAAGGTTCCCATTGGTCCCTTCTGGTGCATATTAAATTTTGGACTGGTCTGATGAAAAAAATGGCGGACAGGCAGCCATCTTGAATATTGACAGTGAATGTTTGTTATCACTATTTTTCCGAAAGTACTGAAGGATCTTTCTCAAATTTGATATGAAGGTGGCCATTGGTCCCTAGTTGTGCATATTTAATTTTAAGACTGATCTGATGAACAAAATGGCAGACAGGCAGCCATCTTGGATTTTGACAGTTTGTTATGGCTATTTCTCAGAAAGTACCAAATGATCTTTCGCTAATTTGATATGAAGGTTCCCCTTGAGCCCGAGTTGTGCATATATAATTTTGAGACTGATCGGCAAAATGAAATTGCTGTAAACCAGCCATCTTGAATTTTTAGCTCACCTGGCCCAAAGGGCCAAGTGAGCTTATGCCATGGTGCGGCGTTCGTCCGGCGTCAACGTTGTTCTCAGTAACCAAAAGGCCTAGGGTGATGATATTTGGCCAGAAGCATGCTGGGATGAAGGGCTACCAAGTTTGTTCAAATACATCACCTTCATTCATTTTCAAGGTCACCGGGTTCAAATATGTTATAATCTTTTAACAACTTCTTCTGAATAACCAAGAGGCCTAGGGTGATGATTTTTGGCCAGTAGCATGCTTGGATGAAGGGCTACCAAGTTTGTTTAAATGAATGACTTTGACTTATATTTAAGGTCATAGGGGTCAAATATATTGTTATAAACTATTTAAACAACTTCTTCTGAATTACCAAAAGCTCCAGGGTGATGATATTTGGCCAGTAGCATGTATGGATAAAGGGCTACCAAGTTTGTTCAAATGAATAAACTTCACTCATATTCAAGGTCACAGGGGTCAATTGTCTTAAAACTTTTGAAACAACATCAGTTCTTCTGAATAAACAAAAGGACCAGGATGATGATAATTGGCCAGTAGCATGCAGTGATTAAGGGCTACCAATTTTGTTCAAATGAATGGCCTTTGCCCATATTCAAGGTCACAGAGGTGTTCTGATGAATAACTAAAGCATCCAGGGTGATTGCATGTTGATGTGAATGACTTTGACACACTTTCAAGGTCACATTTGGTTCATAGTGCATAAATCTTCTAAAAGTCATCTTCTCAATAAACAAAAAGTATAGGGTGGTGTTATTTGGCAAGTTGCATTCTGGGATGAAGGGCTATAAAGTTCAACTTAATGTCCGTTGTTTGACTTTCATGGTCACAGGGATCAAATGTCTAAAAGTTATTTAACAGGTTCTTTTGAATAACTTTAAGTCAAGACACTGATACTTTGCCTGCAGCTTTATTTTAGTCAATTTTTAGGTCACCTGAGACAAAGTCTCACACCTGAGACAAAGTCTCAAGTGACTATTGCGATCGCCTTTTGTCAGGCATGTGTCCGTAAACAATTTACATTTTCGACCTCTTCTCCAAAACCCCTGAACCAATTTCAATGAAACTTTGCAGAAACCTTCATGGCCAAAGGTCAACCAAAACGGTGAATTAAATGGTCCCCAGCCCCCAGGGGCCTTAGTGGCGGGGCAAATTGACTTAAATTTCAAAAATCTTCTTCTCAAGATCCAGATATGGTAGAATCAGATACTCTTCATAGATAAAAGGGTCTAAAGATGCTTTAGCAAATTAGTGAATTTCATGACCCTGGGGTCTCATGTTTCCCCCTGGGGAGGGGATTAACTTTACTATAGTTTATAAAGGGAAATCACATTTCGGACCAGCATTTGTTTAATTTCCATTGGAATTAATTCAAACTTGGTTAGCATTATCAGTATTGGATAGCAGTTTGATGGTATGCACCTATCAGCCCTGATTGACCCCCAGGGGCCTGAGGGGTGGGGCCAAAAAGGGTCAAATTAACTAAAAAATCAACAATCTTCTTCTCAAGATCCAGATATGGTAGAATCAAATACTCTTTATATCTATTGAAAGGTCTAAAGGTGCTTTGCCAAAATTCAGCTGACGGACAGAACCACTATTTGTACATAGTACAAAATGATTTCTTTTTCATTTGGCAGCATCGATAACATCAGTTTTTACATAAATCAGGTGACCGCTAAGGCCCATGGGCCTCTTGTTAAGGTTACAATTGTGAGATTAATACCAGGTGAGCGATGCAGGCCCGTTTGGCCTCTTGTCAAGAGTATTTTGCAAACATTTCATTAACACAACCATGTGATAACACAACACCATCAAACTATCAACAATTAGCTCTAATGAAAAATATACCTAAGGAAGACTTATACAATCAATTACCTATAACTGAGCGAGATCGGGTTATCTCAGTCGAGGGTTAAGATTCTGTATTAAAATCCCAACCGAGGCTGAGCCGAGGTTGGGATGTTACAGAATCTTAGCCCGAGACTGAGATATCCCGATCTTGCTCAGTTATAGGTCATTGCTTTTTTTTCTCGCTCCTTTTAGTTCGAAAAAAACTATTCAATTTTGCGAAAAACTACAATTATCTTGCCTTTGGCCTCAAGTGATACTGACTTCTTCACTACTTAAGCTACATTCGAATGCTTTTGCGTAAAAAGGTAGTCCGTCCTTACATAGATTACAACATATTTGGCAGTGTTGATAATATTTTATCTACAACATCAAATATCTTACAAAACTATACATATAACGACAAAACAACATTTATAATGCAAATTGTCTATATCAAGCAGTTAACGTGCGGATAAATACATCGCATCGTGGGATATATCGGTCTGAGGTGCGAGAAAAGACTGTTGGTTTACCAAATTTCCTTTAATAGTTGCAAACAGAAATCATTATTATATCGATGGAACTGGCCGGAAGTAGGGGACACACCCTACAGAACATCAGAAAGACGTTGCAGCCATGGAACAGCAAGTCTACATTAGAAAGATGTTAAAGAAACAATACAATCAGTCATCACACACCACGCTATCATACACTACCATATCATACACTTAAACAACTCCAAACTACTTAAAAGGGAGGATAACTGCAACAAGAAAAAAAAACAAAGAATCCCTCTGAACAGAGCTAGGAGGGAATAGGAATCACAGAACAGAGCTAGATGAGGGGGCATGCACACCAGCTGGGTCAGCTTTCTGACCCCATTTTAACATTCGTTAAGGAGCGGAATTGGTAAAAGTGTTGCCCTTCCCCTTGACTGCTAGTATAACATTGAAAATAGACCCCCGTGAAAAATTGAACTGAGTTCAGTTTTCTACGTTTGAAAATGGACTCGTAAGATGTCCACTTGTAGCCTGTGGAAAGCAGACCCTAAGCACCTTCCTAGTGGTGTCCATCGTCGGACCAAATCAGGTCACTGAACTACCTACACAATGTTAAACATGACTTGATTGTTCCCACCATGAAGTGTCTGTTACTACATGACTGTTTCCAGCATGAAGTGTCTGTAACTACTTGACTGTTCCCACCATGAAGTGTCTGTTACTACTTGACTGCTCCCACCATGAAGTGTATGTTACTACTTGACTGTTCCCACCATGAAGTGTCTGTTACTACATTACTGT